AATGAAGGAGGTTCTAGCGAAAACCTTAATCAGCTAGAACCAACCTTTATGTATTCACAAATATTCAAGGAAATACTCCTACACATAGAATATGACCAACAGACTATCAAAGACTTGGCCAAATTTTGCCAACAAGAATACCAAGGTAATATCAATGAACTCAAAATTGTTGACGAATTTCAACGAACTTATCAAGAATCAAAGACAATTTGGTGGTATACACGCCAATGTTTCCATGACTTCCCTAATTCAAGTTCGAATATAAATAGAGAGCGAAGACTCTATTATAACTTCGAAAACAAATGAAAAAAATCGCAGCCATGTTAAAATGGCAAAATGAGCAAAAGATAAAATTTAATATAAATTAAAATTTATAAATTCGAAGGCAGTCATGTTAAAATAGCAAAAAAGCAACAAATAAATTTTATATAAATTATAATCTATAAATTCGAAGGCAGTCATGCTAAAATAGCAAAAAAAGCGAAAGATAAAATTTTATATAAATTATAATTTGTGAATTTGGAAGCAATGGATGGTAAGGGAGGAAAAAAGCAAAAGAGAAAATTTTATATACGGTTCAATATGGAATTCGAAGGCATTCCAATAGGAAAACAGAAGAATTGAAACCATTTAAAATATTTGTGCCATACAGATGAATACTAAAAGATATTTGTAATCGAAGATATTGTAGTGGAAGACTGATATGTCAGAAGAATCACCTGACGTTTGGTAGTCATCACGTGGGTTGATATCAGCATTACCTGTTGTGTAATCGACGTGACCTGAAGTTCTATCAGTTTCTCGTAAAATACTACTAGCATATAGTCAGGTATAGTACGGATCGTCTAAGAGGTTAATGGTACTCCCTAAGATAGTAGTAGTGTCCCCGTATATGCTGTGCTTTTCGAGTTGAATCGCATCAGGTTCTACTTAAATGCCACAAGCGTCATTCGTGCAGCTTCAATGATAGCGAATGATGTTGCCATCGGTACATGAGATTCAACAAGCGTTGCGAGGAAAGTTTTAGTCACCTTTTGGAACATGTCAGTAGGCCTTGTTCTATAGCCCGCTGGAGCATAGTTGGATCATGTAGGTGACAAGGGAAAATAAATGGAACTTGCTAGTTGTAGCTAGGTAGTCTCTTACTCTAATTTGAATTATACTAGGGCTATTTATGAGCGGACATATGTGTTATCGAACGGATCAAAACAACATTTCATCGCGCAACGGACCTATTGTTGCAGCATAGATGCATCTGTGTGCAAAGTGCACTCTGAAGAGCTGCGATCCATGCCTGCCTGTGTGAAATTAGGAATCGTAGTTTGTTATTTTTGAACCATGTTTACTAAAACGTTTCCAAAGCGATTTCACCAAGTATCTCAATTCGCTCACAGATGTTACATTGCTGTGACTACTGAAGCGCTTCGTGCTCTTCGCCGGGTACCCCTCGGAAGGTCTCTAGCATTGTAGCACATATTTGTAGCAGTGCAGGGAACGCCTCAAGCTTCAAAGTAGGGTTTGTTTCACCCAGTTGCAACATATAGCATTCTAGATGATATGCTTAACTTCGCAATGGATTCTTGTAGCATCCAAGGTGATGCTTGAATCATTCCAGATGGATGCTGTGCTGGAGAAAGAAACGCTTCTAGCGTCCTAGCTGCTACTTATAGCATTCTACATAATACCCGAGCCGTTGTAAACCATACCTATAGCATTGCAATATATATCCGTAGCATTCTTGTGACACGTGTTGCGTTCGAGGAAGCATCTACAACATACCTAGTAATACCAATAGTTGCTGTGGTGATGGCTGCAATATCTGTGGTATTACCTATAACATATAATGTGCGACATGTAATGTCTCACGCGATGCGTCTCATATCTCTAATGATACCTATAGCATTTCAGAATGCTAAATAGTTCAGTAGCTGAAATGGGCTTTGATAATTGGCTTCAAACGACAGGTTTCGTACTGATCAGCCTATATTGGTGCTACGCCCGGGATACACAACATCCAACCACGGTTTTCCACCGTGTAACTAACGTTTTAATACTCATCGCGGCCTCGGGACAATGCACGCACGCACAGCAACCGCAACCAAAGCACATTTCTCTGTACACAATGATCAACAAAGTGAAAATCGAAACAACAGCAATCGTATACATAAATCTTTTACTTTTCCTTGTGCGTCACTTGAACATTCGTACGATTTTCGTTAATTTCCCATTTATTTCCGAACTGAAATTCTGTATTTACTCACCCACACATCCTTGAGAAATGCCGAGAATTCCTCCATTTCGCCAATAAGATTTCCCACACTTGCATGCACGCTAATCCCGAAACACCCGGATGTGTACTCGCAAAAGTACTGTGGGCTCGTACAAAGTCGGAACAGTTCGATCGCCTATTGCCATATGCCATATAACTACACGAATTTCCGAAACATATAATGATGGTTGGTGTAGCAAAACCTCTTGCTCCTTCCCATTAATCCGGAAGCTACAGTTCCGAATACTAATACGACTACAGCCAATAGAAGGAACTCTACTTAGCGAAACTCTGGGAACCCATCTTAATGTGAACACAGCCGCCTGATTAGCAGCAATCCTAGCGGTGGGAACACACACACTCAAATTTAACACTACGCGCGTCGTGCCCCACAAACAGACATAAAGACCGCCGAGAAGCTGCATCTGTGTACCGACAGGGTAGTGTCAGCGGAATAACTACTAGCACAGGGCGAACAGACATCTTTATTGCAGCTTCGGCGCGTGGTGGCCCGCAGGGCCACCCGAAGAGCGCCGAGAAGCCATGTCTGAGTTCCGACAAGCTAGTGGCAACGCTATAACCAGTACCGACTGAGCACAGACACATTTATTTCACCCTCTGGTCGTCTTCATTCGAATGCGCACTCAAAGAGTACCTAGGACCGGGTGTGCGTGGAGTCCCGGTGTCGGCGCGCGTGTCGCTTGTTGACGGAGATGGAGCTGTGAGTGCGGATGTACGAGTGGGTCTATGTGTGGAAGGAAGACAACAGACAGAGAGTCACAGCGATAACAACATCCAGATCGTAGACCCACACACACCCACCCTACAGATAATCTATCTTTTATTTTGTTGGCATTTTAACATCACTGCCTTCGAACTTTATAAATTATAAATGAAGTAACATTGATGTTAGCGTTAGTGATGGATCACACTAACGCTAAACGACGATTAAGATGCTCCTTCTAGTCTAATTGCTTAGAACAACTGCCCGAATAGCAGGAGATGTGGGTTCGATCTCCACGAAGGTCATCTTTTTCCTTGTTCTGTAACATAACATCAGTGACACTGCTGTTCTCTTTCGTTCTACACATATTAGAGCTAACAATTGATCTCTTGGTTTTCTTCCTACTTTAACATGACTGCCTTCGAATTTATAAATTATAATTTTATATAAAATTTTATCTTTTGCTTTTTTTGCTATTTTAACATGACTGCAATGTTTTTTTCATTTATATTCGAACTCGAATTAGGTATCTAGTCAAAAATTGACAACCATTGTCCACTTTATGCTGTGGACCTTAAACTCACTTCGGATGATCAAGAACTTCGTGAATTATCCGGCTATATACTAAAAGAAGTCGGCGGTACTGGATGGTATCGAATGGGTAAATTGCTGATCAAAATAGGTCAATTCGACAAGGCCGAAGAATTATACACAGCACTACTAGACCAGGCATCTAACGACAGTGACAGAGCATATATCTGTAATCAACTTGGGCGGGTGACACGAGATCAAGGGAGAAAACAAAGAAGCAGTCTCATTTTACGAGAAAGAACTCGAAATCTGCCGAAAAACTTTTCTTGTGGTTCATCTTTCATTGGCTTCTTATTACAGCAACATTAGTGAAGGACATTACAACATGGGTGACTACTCTCAAGCACTTGGGTTTTACGAAAAGGCACGCAAAATATACGCTGATTGTCTTCCTTCCGATCATCTTGATTTGGCTATTTGTTACAGCAAAATTTGGCGGACTGCATAACGACATAGGTGATTATTTGAAAGCACTTGAATTTTACGAGAAAGCACGTAGGATCTACAAAAAAGCTCTGCCTTCGAATCATCCCGATTTAGCTAATTCCTAAAAAGAAATATCACTGAATAAGATGGTTGGATTACCCATCGTAAAACGTATCTCTGATAAAAATATCAGAAGTCTACCACGTACCTTTGCGGAAATATGCCGATGATATTAACCACAACCGGTTGACAAAATATTTCTGAAATTGATAAAAGGCTATTTTGTGTGGTATTAGTTCAATCATTCTATCTCGGCCAAAAATAATTTGCTAGATCTGAAAATTTGGCTATATTCCTAAAAAAGTTATCTGTACAAAATGGAATAACTTTTGCCGAAATCTGAAACTATTAATTGAGCACGTTCAGGTATGCCTCTCATGAGAGGACTCTTAGGCATAGAGTAAGGAGAATCGGATCCAGGAAAGGATATTTTTGTAGCTCGACAAAGGTAATGCTGGGAAAAGCTTTCCTGACGCAAACATTTTAGAAGAGAGTTCGACCGAGTCATCCGATTCTTCTATATATCCATCAGTGGCATTGTATGAAGTCAAGTCAAGTTTCAGCATTTTGCAATGAAAATAAACATCACAAACGCTGAAATATAAGGCGTCTGGGAATGACTCCCTTGTTACGATAATTAGCGGATTAAAAACGATTCAGTTTTCTATGAAATCAATCTTTAGAGTACATTTCAAGGGTTTGAACAGAAATAAATTTCCAAAAAAAACCATACTCAAGACTCTGCAGTTTACAAATGCATAGCAAAATGAGTCAGTGAAACCAAGAACAGGATGCAGAGAAACGATAGAAGCTGAACGTAAAAAAGATGCGAACATATAGAAATTACAGTTATAAAAAAACATAAGACTGAATGCCATACAATTAACCAAAAAATGTCATTTCCATCCGAGTTTTTTCTTTAAAGTATCAAATGCATTTGTCGCTGTTTTCACTGGATCGAAACCTAATTAAAAAAGAAGAAACAATAAAGAAGTAGAAAAAACATTGTTGAACTCCATATAGTGTAAAATAGACCTGTTTTTATCAGGCAGGACAGGGAAAGTAAATTTAATCTGCTCCAGACGGGTTTGAAGATTTTTTGCCAATATTTTCTAGCTATTAGCAGCAAAAACCTGTAGACTAACTGGAAGATGCACTAAAAATCATACTTTGTTGGTGCTCTATTAAGTGATGCATTAAGAAAACCAGCTTTATGGAAATTTAGCGCAGGTTTTTACTGAGTAAAAAGTACGTCTTTTAGCACATGCATGGCAGGACCGGGCGTTAATTTATGCTTGACACAGAGAAGGGCAAAAATTGAGTGCTGTAAACAGCTTTGTTATAAAAGCAGTATACACCCTCTCTTTCTTCCAAACCATCTACCTTGATTCTCCACACTTGACGCTTGATTCGCTTCTCTTGCTTGATTTTCATTCAATGTCGTTGTCGCCGTTCTGCCGTGAGCTCGAGAGGAGAGATCATCTTTCTTCTTGATATTATACTACGAAAATAGACAGAGAACGAAATCTTTCTTAGAAGAGACATGCTATCTCGGAAAATTCTATACTATTCACTTTATCACGAATTTTCTGTCTTGCTTCTTCACGTTCTTTTTCCACCTTAGCTTGTCTTGCTTTTCGTTCGTTTTCCATAGCTACTTGCCTCTTTTGCTCAGTCTAGTAGAGTATCGAAATAAGATTTGAAACATTCTAAAGTACGGCTTTTGTTAAAAGAAAATCTGTTACACTTACAAGCGGGTCTTCGCCAGAAATGCCCATAACTTCGTTTTGTTCATTGACACTTTCACTGATAGTTAGCTCTAAGAAACGAGAGAAATATAGTGATGATTAGAAGTTAATGAATACCCTTCATATCTTTTATAACTTTATCGAATTCATGTCCGATCATTTTTTTCATAATATACGAAGACATTGTTTTGGCCTATGTCACTTACACACACACAATTCTTAATCGAAAAATTTTACTTCACGTTTCTTTTGTAACCAAAGAAAACAAAACAAAAATGAAATGTAATGATGTGTACATGTTTTTTTTCGTTCTTTCATCTCCTCACGTTTTAGTCTGAGACGAACGAAGGAAGAAAAGTAAATATAGCCGTTCTTGTGTCACTTTTTGCAGGAATTGAATTTCTGTTTCTTTTGTTCAATTTTCACCAATAGGTGAGTGTTGTTAGTCTTCTTACAGTAAAGAGTTTTTCTATTTGCAAGCACTGCCAGTAACACTTAAAATTAATGATACACTGCAGGTTTATCCTGAAAATTTCACGAATAGATTGAATTTCAGCAAATCCTGATTTTTATGCCATTTTTTTTCTACTTTTTATGTTGGGAAATTATGAAGTCACTACTAAGCCGAACTCATTTAACATTGCTAAGATAAAACTCTTATACAAATTAAAATCTACAAATTACATTTATAAAATAGAGTTCAAATCGATTAACAGTCAGTTTAATAAAGAATAACCAATTATGTTGGTTTGAGTCAATTTCAATTGATTATTTAATTTCAGATTTCAAGATAAATTTACGTCGAAAGGAACATCTGTGATGTGTATAGGACACTTTCCTACACCTGAAATAACTGTAGTATTCAGAAGAAATCGATTGAATCTTTTCGGTTTGTAATCAATGATTTTGATTTCAGACTTGAAGAATGATTTTAATCCATTGAAGAGAAAACTGATTAACAAGATTATAATCGATTTTGACTCAAGGATGGGTGGGTGTGAGAGTGTGGTTCTGAGTACAGGGTGGTATGGATGTGTGTTGGAATGTTTGCTTGTTTACTTACACCTATACCCACACCCATCCATGATTATTGCATAGAATTATTGGTGATAACGATATTTTGCGTATTATTACTAACTATACAGTCAGTTATGAATATTGACACAAGAAATACATACATTCACGAGCAAGGGTATCGATTGAAACAAAAATTGTGCGTAAATAAAAATAATCAATTATCATCTTAGATTATAATGAAATACTTTGGAAACTTCTCTTCGGCTGCAATTAAATTGTTTTTATGTATGAAAGTTTTCTTTTCTATCAATACTCCATCCTCGTGAGTATATGTATTTCTTTGGTCAATATTCATCATTGACTGTATAGTTAGTAACACTACGCAAACTATCTTTATTACCAATGAGTCTATAGAGGGATTATTGATTAATCGAATATATATTTAACGGATTCATTGTTTTTCTCGATTCATAATGATTCTAGTATAATAATATAAAATATAGGTATATTCTACAGAAATATATAGAAAACAGGAGCGAACTCTACATTTTCGTTAACCGAATACTATTCTTTTTAAAATATTGAATTTGCGCTTTAAAAGTACTTTTTAATAAAAGGTTCAAAATTTAAATACTTTATTTTCAGTTGTTTTGAAAACAAGCAATTTCAATTCTGAAATTTTAATCAAGTGGAATTTAATATAAAAAGAACGTTTGAAAATTTTAGTCGACCATAAAGTTCACATTTGAAGTTTTTATTTTTTTTTTGAAAAAAAAAAGAAATTTTAACTCTGAAGTTTATCGCGAATCTTCCATGTAAAAACAAAGTATGGAAAAGCAACTTTTAAGTACTATATCTGATAATTAAGTAATATAAAGTAACTATTACAACTATTTTTTACTTTTTCTAGTAATTTTCGACACTTTTCCTACTTTGTAAAGTGCTTTTAAGTACTATTGGCATTAGAAGTACTATTTAATAATTTCTTCGTTTCCAGTAAGTACTTTGTAGTACTTATAAGTGTGGATGAGATAATTCAGATGATTTGGATCTTTTGTAAAGTACTATTTATTACTATTTTCGCTGGCAAAGTAATTGTATTAATTTTTTAACTTTTTGAAATACTTTTATACATTTGTATACCCATGTAAAAAAAAAGTAGGCAAAAACCAACTATTAATTACTTTCAAAAGTAGATTTTAAACAGGAAAAAGTACTTATAAGTGAACCTTTTTAAGTACTTTTCATACTTTTTGACTAAAAAGTACTATTAATTACTATTGAAAGTGTGAAAAAATAATAAAACTCACTTAGAAAAGTGAAAAAAAGTAATAAAAGTTAATTTATTTTTCTGTATTAATATTAAAAGTACTAAATAGTATGTTTTATTTCAGAAAATACTATTAGGTACTTTTAATATTAATACAGAAAAATAAATTAACTTTTATTACTTTTTTTCACTTTTCTAAATGAGTTTTATTATTTTTTCACACTTTCAATAATAATTAAAAGTACTTTTTAGTCAAAAAGTATGAAAAGTACTTAATAGTTGGTTTTTGCCTACTTTTTTTTTTTTACATGGGTAGTCATCGTTAATACCACTTGGTTAAAAATTTGTTAAACTACAAAAAAAAATTCATTTTAATAATATCTAAATTAATATTTACTGGGGCCAAAAAAGTTTGCATATATGTGTCTATTGTTTGAATCATTGACTAATAGAATCGAATTTTATTATTCTTTGAATTTAATACTAACGAAAATAGAGGGCATAAGCATATATTACTCAAAAAAATCTAACCCGACAAAAACCCGACATTTTTGGAAATCAAACCCGCATCCGACCCGACCCGATGATAGTCAGATCCGCACCCGACCCGACAAGGTTAAACTCGAACCCGCCCGCACCCGCGGATCGGGTGCGGGTTCGGGTTCGGGTTGGGTCGGATCGGGTTGCAGTACTCTACTGTTAATTATTTATTTCAAGTTAAAAGTTCATCAATAAATTTAGCAAACTCTGCATCAATTAGTAATCATTTGGAATAAAATGATGACGTTGATATGAGTAAAGAATTTGATATACTTGAAAAATAATGTTTTAATGATTTTTGGTTAAGGAAATAACAAGATATATGTGAGGGAAAGTCAACAAGAATATTTTTTTTATTCATTATTTGATGTTGATAAACGTGTTGGGAAATGTGATGTATTTATTGTTGCATTATCATTAAGTTTAAGTATTGATGAACATGAGACAAGTAATTACATTTGACATAAAGTGCAGACTATAATACGACCAGAAACAACAATAAGATAATTTATTTTTGAATCTAAATTAAACTAGAATTGAAAAATTCATAATTTTCATAAAAACGTTTATCTTTCTCTGGTATGTGAATCAAAACATCTAGCATATTGTTGTCAGTGCTGCATAAGATGAGAACAATAATAAAATTTGAACCTAGTCTTTAAGTAAATCTTGTACTGATTTCTCAACATCATTGCAATAATTTAAATGAGATACACTTAATTGATTACGTTTAATTGATAAATCATTATGAAGCTGATGAAACACTTCACAATAATATCGAGAAAACTGATAATAAAAATCATCATGATGTTGTTTTCGTTGATATTCAATGGAACGTTGTTCAAGTTCAATTTCATTTCTATCTGATAAATTGATTCCATTAAAGTATATTTTTAAATTCCTAATCTAGATATTCTTTTGTTAAATAGATAGTGAAACAAGCTATTTTTATCCAAGTGTATTTGAACATTTTCATTTTTCAATATTTATTGGATTATCATTAATAAGAACTGTATTTGAATGTTGAGCTGATTAAAGACAATATCGATGATATTCCATACATTCTCTGAATGGATGACAATGTAAATCACCAATTGATTTTCATCGATGCATTGAATTATTTCTATCATCAAACTAATTTATTTGACGTGAAGAAAAAGATTTTGTATCTTTTGCTGAGAATTTGTTGTTCATCCTTACCTTATTCTTGTTGATGACATTCGATCTCGATAAGAATTATTTGAAGATGGTAATGTATCAAGTGATGAATGATTATCGTTTGTGGAAGATGATTTTACTTCATTTAAATTTGAGATATGGGTTTTGGTCGAAATTTTGATTAAGAGCCAATTGTTGGACCATTACCCTCCGATGGATATTGAATTAATTATTTAAACTGGAACTGGATAAAAAAATAATGGTTGAATTTTATAGAAACATCTTTTGGTTAAGTCATATAGGAGGTAACTAAACATCTATTATCGAATCATCACATCATTTTCTATCATTTTCATTCGGGATAGTTTATGTACATTCGTTTTCATCTATCTGTAGGGTGTCTCGACAGCCCTTAGAGTTAGGAAAATTTGAATATCTTCATCATTCTTTAACCAAATGAGCTGAATTTTTTTCTGAGAGTAGAGGACAGATTGAAGTATGTTTTCATGAAGAAACAGTCCATTTATGACCATGAAACCAGCAAAAATTTCTTCACTATATCACTAGTTGGTTACGATGAGGATTTATTCACCATTCAAAAATAACTCTTTTATTGTGATGTTGTGCTAACAACCAGATCACTTGCTAAGTTTAACCGTTATCTCATTTCTCTTGTTCTTTTGAACACGTAGCAAACACACTAAGACACACGTATATATATATATCAGCTATATTGCTGGATAAATAAATAAAAGAATATTCTCATATTCTCCGGTATCAGACTATGGCTATTAGCAACAAACACTTGTGCATAGTTTACGTATATAGTAGAGAAAAGTTTGCTGACTTCAAGGCCATAAATGGACTGTTTCTTCAAGAATAAAAGCTTCTATCTGTTCTCTACCCTCAGAAAAAAATTCAGCCTATTTGGTTGAAGAATGATAAAGATATTCAAATTTTCCTAGCTCGAAGGACTTTCGGGACACCCTATGTATAGACTATAAAATTCTTTCTCTTTCGTTCTTCATCTATTCAAATTTGTTTATCGTTCGATAAGGAACCATGTATAAAGTACGTTCAGATAAAGAGGACCTTAAAAACTGGATAAATCTGGAGACGGAGGAGGGGGTCGAGCGTTACTGGACATGCAGAAAGCTACTAGCAATATTTTCTTTTTTTTACAACTTTTCAAGAAATTTTGAAGCTCAATTTACTTGAAACTATCTTTTTTTTATGTTTTTATTGAACGTGAAACACTTGCTGAAATAAATGAAGATTCTATTATATCGGCAGCCAGTTATATCTGAATTTGTTTATACATTAGAATACCATTAGTATTGAAATTATCTCTTATTTTTACTTTTTTTTCCCACTATTTTCTGCTCATAAAAATCAAATATGTTTAAATATGAAAAAAAGGTTTTCAACAGACTATATTTCATGAAATGTTTATCTATTTGTTCCCATGTTTGATAGTGTTATTTAATAAACGAGGAAGTAATGCTTACAGGTCAGTCTTGGATTTTGATGAATCCTAGTTTTGTTTGAATTAATGTCAGATCTGAGATGGAACTAGTAATTCAATATTGGATCCAGAGAAAAGGTTACCATAAAACTCAAGCAAATCTCTGGGTTCATGTCAGATTCATTTTGCTGTTAGTAAGCCATCATAAGACAATCATTTTTCAACTAAGTTAGCGATCGGTTGACAATCTGAGTACAAATTCAAACAGTGATGCAGACCCTCTCAGAGAAGTTATTTCCTTGTATAAAGTGGCTCCTCGATGCTCAGAACATGCCTTGATTCATCCATTGGCATAGATGTCATAATATTCAAACATTGGGTAATGGAAATTAAACGTCATAATATCCATGGAGCATCCAATCGAGATGTACTCATTTTTAGATCTTGAAAATTTGTGTAATTACCCTGAGGGTAAAGACTTTGATATAACAATATGTTAAAAGTTGAGGAATTTCAGTTATTTTCGTGTAATGACTTTGAAGGTAACGACTTTCATATGAAAGGATATAATTATGAGTTTTTTTTTCGGAATTGTTTCTGTTTCCTTATAAGGAATGCACGATGGAAGTTATTACCCTAAAAGTCATTACACCAAAAGGGCTCTAACTCCTGAATATTGAGTATGGATAAATGAAGAAAAAGTCGTTACCGGGTATAACGAGATTATGACATCACTCACAGGCCTATATTTTGATGAGGTATTTTTGAGACTCAAAGAGTTAGTCACGAAGAAAAAGATCTTTAAACAATAATTTGCAATGAACAGCTTGTTTTCAAAATACCTTTGAGACTCAAAGCGCTTGTTTACAAGAAAAAGATCTTTGAAGGACTTTTTACAACAAGTACCTTATTTACAAAGCATTTTTCAGACTGAAATTACTAATTTAGGAGAAAAAAAATCATTAATGATCTTGTTGCGACAAATACCTAATTTACAAGGTATTTTTGAGATTCAAATCTTCGTTTAAAAAGAAAAAGCTTGCTAGCGCAGTCCCTAAGCGACTAAAATGTGGAACTCACATATGTTCTCTAAGCTCATTAGACTAATACAAAATACGTAAAGTGAGAAAGCTCTTGTAGATTATAGTTATTATACAGGATAATCGATCACTAGAGTAAGAATCTCTCTAATTTCAAAATTTTCAACAGAAAATTTTTAATTTTTTCTACGGTCATCCTATTTTTTGTTTGCATTGTTGCTATTCACTCATGATTTTGAATTTTTTTGAACTCGCTTTCTTAATTTAATATTCTCCTTCAATAATCATTAAATTAATTGGCAAAATAAGTCTGTTTTACAGATTTCTAATATCTAGAGCAGATCTTACGCACTATTGTGTATTAATCAACTCGTCAACAATAATACTTAGTATGTTTCAAAATTATAACCTGATCAATTTTTCAAAAAAAAACAGGAAGTCTGGAGCCTGTTATTCTGAATTTCTAAAGTCTGTAATGAGAGATATCTGTGATCGTGGCCTGTTTTGCTATGGTCTGCCATGGGAAGAACAGGCACAAACCTTCAGTTTAAAACTTATACTCACTATTTTCTTCGAAAATACGTGTGAGTTTCACAAAAAAATCTCTAAATATCTTTTTTTGACTGATACCTTATTTCTAAGATATTCTTCAGATTTATATTGCTATTTTAAAAGAAAAAGATCAGTAAAGATCTTTTTTTTACTGATAGTGATTAATGAATAATTAATCACTGATATAGTGATCTTTTTTCTTGTATCAATTATTGATGCAATAGTCATTTTCATCTTTTTTGTCGACAATCAATTTATCGCTATTCTACGATGTTCTCATTTATATTTATGTTTATTTTTCAGCACTTCTTTTTCTATTTTTTCTAAAAAGTTTCGTGGTGTGAATCTATATGTACTTATTCTTTTGTGTACCACATTTAAATCCAACAATTTTTGTTCATAATGATCATCGTTTTAGTGTATCTGGACTTGTGTATGAACTTTTAGCAATAATCGGATCGATTGTTTCTAATGTTGGTAACATTCCAACACAATTCTGTTCGTAAAAGTGAATTCAGCATTATTATATATAAATGTACTTATAGTACCCATGAATATCGATGAAAAAAGTAGAAAAAATGAAATTACAGTTAGTTTAAATATAAATACAAAACAGATCAACTCGAGCATTACCTATAAATAATAATTCCCTTGAAGGGGTAATCGATGACTAGAGAAACATTTATGCTTTATTTATTTCGGTATTTCGAACAAAATTTCTTTTTTTCTTTTATGTACATACCAATCATATCTAGATGTTCTTCGACTGTGTTATTCACGCATTGAAGAAGGTAAAAGTTATTTTAACAATGTGATTTGTAGGAAATTTTTTCCGTCGGAAAATATTATATTTGAAATCAAATAAATTATATATCTTTCTTACACTATGAATATCATGAATAAAAAGCTTACCTTAGTCCAATGCAAATAGAGGATGGAATTTAGAACAACGCGCTATGTTAAATTTGGTTTGATAGATTCTTTTTTAGTGAGATACACATCCACTCTATCACTGTGATTGCAATAAACTGTTTTTACTTTTGCTATTCATAGTGTAACAAAGGTAAAGACCTGAACATAAATAACCCGTTTTAATTTCAAATAATAATAAGATTTTGGTACAAAAAAATAGTTCCTACAAATCCATATTATTAAAATAACTTTGACGTTCTTCAAGGCATAAGTAAGCCAGCATAAGATCGTCCATCTGCGTATTTCTGTCTTTCCATTTTCACGATCATCGCAGAAGAAAACGATAACTTGTGATGCCTATGTCTGTTCAATAATGAAATTTCAATTGGCATAAGAAAGAAAATCGATTTCACTTGAAGTCGATCCTGTTCTATCGAAAGCTTTCCTTATTTCTGGTAAAAAATGGAGATCAATTCTTCAAAATTAACGTCTTGGAGGACTTATTGAAGAATCGAGACATGGATCTCTGTGGTATATTTTGAAGGAATTTCTAGCAACGTGCTGATTTCTAGAACATCTCAGCACAAAAAACGGATTTAGTTACAGTAAAACATATGCAATGTGTGGAGGCAGAATACGTACAGAACTGACTACAAGAATAGTATGCTTTGCAACGCATTAACAACTGATAAAGTTTAGTGTTAGACAAGAAAAGAGTATGTTTGAGAACATTTTGTTGAAGCATTACTAAACAAATAAGAAGAAATATATTCTGAAACTGATGATAAGCGATTGCTATTGAAAAAATAGTTTCGTAAGAAAAATTTCGTTGTTGAATTTAGACTGCTGCCGCTGTCAGATGAAATCAAAATCAGTAAAAATTAAAAATGAAGATGATAAGTTAAATAGTCTCTTTATTCAGTACTGGACCTATAAAACTTTAATTCGATTTTCACATCAATGTTCCATAGTAAATTTTATTGCCTGTTCGAGTAATAAAATAAGCATAATTTTTTTTTTTTATAAATCAATTAAGAATAACAATCACATGATTCATGTTATATTCGATGGTTTTTTTTCAGTTAGAAAAGGT